CCGTCTCTCCCTCCGTTTCCGATTCCGAGTCCAGTGCCCAATTCTTCGCAAAGGGTTGTTGAGGGGAAGAGTTGCATTTCCCCAGGACCGGATCACAGAGATGAGCAAGTCTGCAAGGGTACATTTCGGCGCCGTAGGTCGTAGTCGGGCCTCGTCGGGTGTCGTCGGGCGTCGTCGTCGTCGTCGTCGTCGTCGTCGTCGTCGTCGAGCATCGTCGGACATCGTCGTGCGTCGTCGGCGTCGGCGTCGGCGTCGACGTCGTTGGCGTCGGCGTCGACGTCGACGTCGACGTCGGGCGTTGTCGGGCTTCTTCGGGCGTCGTCGGGCTCCTTCGGGCGTCGTCGGGCGTCGTCGTCGTCGTCGTCGTCGGGCATCGTCGGGCATCGTCGTGCGTCGTCGTCGTCGTCGTCGCAGGCGTCGTCGTCGTCGTCGTCGTTCGGCGGAGAGCGATGGGGGGAAGTGAGAAGGAACAGGCTTTCTCAGAAGGCGGCGGTGCTTCTCAGAAGGCCGGAGGCCTTCTGAGAAGTTTTTGGTGTCTTTGGGGAAGGCTTAGAAAATTCCTTAGAAGGCCCGGGGGACTGCCGAGTTTTATGAGAAGGCCCGCCCCTTCTCACTTCCCCCCTGGGCTCGCCGCCGAACGTACGGTCGGACCGAGGTATCAGATCGAGGTCGATTCGGGAAGGGTACCCTATTGTTCTTCGTGTGTGCTGGATGTTTTTGTGCATCCTGGGGGAGGGTACCCTTGGATGTTCTGTGTGTTTTGGCCGGCGGAGGGTCTCATATTCTTGAAGGACGTTCTCCTGTCCTAAGTCCGACCCTACACTTGCATCTTTGCAAACCAAGTGTTCAACTTTGGCTCAGAGATGTGGGTGTCCAAGAGCCTTGCACCCTTGCCGCGCACCCTTCCCAGACATCTGATGTTTTGATGATTTCATATGGGGTCCCCCGAAGCCCCGACCCTTTCCCCATGGCCGGTTGTTCATCGCGGGTCGTTTCTTTGACGGTGTTGGGGCCCGCCGAGAACCCCCCAGAGGCCGAAAACGGCCAACAATCTCCCGCCGCGATTTTTCACGCCGCGAGCATGTGTAGATCATGATCCAGTCGCGCTGTACCACTTTGGCGCGGGCGGGGCTAGGACGAGCATGAATCCGTTCCAGAGCGTCCTGGCGCGCTCCGAGAGCGTTCTCGGGCGCTCTGAGAAGGCCGCGGCGCCCGATACGTCCTCCAGAGTCGCGGGATCTCAAAGGTTCTCGAGTCATCCTTTCGGGCAGGACGAAAGGGGGGGATTGGGAAAGGGGGGGTTACGAAATTTGCTGCATGCAGCTGGTTTCGGCCTCACCGAGGGGGCCATTTCTCGATACATAGCCGCCTCCGGCGCCGGGAGGCGCCGGGAAAATCAGCTACGTGAGCTGATTCTCAAACCCCCCCTTTGCTATCCCCCCCTTTCGCCCGACCCGATCCTTACCCGGATTTGTGCTCGTCCTCCCCCCGTCTCGTTGGCCTCGGCGCCCCCCCCCCCCAGCCTGGGCTTCTGGCGCCGGCTGACCTGGTACCTCCTGCTGCCGCTCACGGGCGCCCTCCTCGCCCTCACGGCCGCCGGGGCCTGCGGGCTCGACGAGCTGTGGCTCGACGGGCTGCGGCGCGTGACCACCGCGGCGCTCGCCATCCTCGCGATGTGGAAGGCGCTCGCGGGGGCCTCCGCCGTCGTCGAAGGGGGAGGAGGAAAAGGAGGAGGAACAGGAGGAGGAAAAGGAGGAGGAGGAGGAGGACGAGGAGGAGGAGGGGAGGGAGGAGGAGGAGGGAGGAGGAGGAGGAGCGGAGTGAGGAGGAGAAAGAGAAAGAGGAGGAGGAGGAGGAGAAAGAGGAGGAGGAGGAAGAGGAGGAGGAGGAGACAGAGGAGGAGGAGGAGAGGAGTTTTATGAACATGGTCAGCTGTCGGAGGCCCGCGCGGATCTCTTGGAATCGGCGCTGGGCCTCCGGGAGGCTCGGCGGACCTCTGGCGGCGTGTGCGTTGTGCAGGCGTTTGCTCCTCCTCCTCCTCCTCCTCCTCCTCCTCTTCTGGACGCCGCCGATGTCGCCGTCGTTGCAGCCGCTGGTGTCGCCGGCGCCGCCGCCGAATTCGCGCCATCATGCGGGTTGGATAGGGGTCAGGGCCCCGAATCATCAGGGGTAACTCGGGTCAGGGCTAACTCGGGTTCGTTTTTCGGGAATCCGAACCCGACTTACCCCGGACCCGAGTGACCCCGGATAATTCGGGCGTCCAGAGCCCCACATCATCAGGGGTAACTCGGGTCAGGGCTAACTCGGGTTCCTTTTTCGGGAATCCAAACCCGAGTTACCCCGGACCAGAGTTACCCCGGATAAGTCGGGCGCCCAAAGGGGGAGGAGGAGGGGGTGGGGCGGGGGAGCGGGGGAGGACAATCTAGGTGCGTTCACGCCACATCTGCCCCCCATCCCTTCCTGTGTCGCTGAACTGTTGCTCTTCCCGTCGAGGTATGGGGTGTCCTAGAAGATCTCACCCCGTAAATCATCTGTCGTGTGATGTGTAGCCTGGAAGGGCAGGTGGAGGAGGAGTGGGAGGAGGAAGCGGCAGAGCTGGCAGACGAGCAGGAGGACGAGCAGGAGGCAGAGCTGGGGGTGAGGAGGCCGGAGCGGCAGCCGCAGCCCGGGGGAGGAGCGGGAGGGCCGAGGGGATGGGCGGAGGGGGAGAGCAGAGAGGGGGACGGCCACGAGGAGGAAGGCCTCGGCAAGCGCCGCGGCGATGGGCCACCTTCGGCAGGAGCTGGGCGGCGAGCCGACCCGGAGGTGTGGCCAGCGCGGCAGCGAGGCTCGCCTTTTCCGAACGGCGGGGGCGACACGCGGATCCGGAAGCTCGGGCAGCGCTCCAGTGGGAGTGCCACGGCTCGCCGAAGTCCGAAAGCAGTCGAGAACTCCTCGTCGGAGGCAGGAGTCAGAGATCAGGCAGCAGAGCTCAGGATCAGAGATCAGCCAGTCAGAATCAGAAATCAGGGATCAGAATCGGAATTTTTCGTCGAACAAGAAAGCAGCCCGATTGAAAACAATCGCACGCAATATGCAATGTCTGGCATCACGTGTGAACAAGAATAGACTCCCACTGCGGAGAATGACCCATCGGAACACCATCGTTTGAGAACCCTCAACCCTGCCAAAACATTATTCCTGGGAGTTCAACGCCGCGACTCAACGTGATTGTTGCGTTTTGGGCAGTCCTAACACGCTCAAGATCACCACCCCTCCTGGGGCTTCAACGTCACGAATCGACGTGACTGTTGCGTCTTGGCAATCCTAAGTCGCGGAAATTCACAATGCCTGGGGCTTCAACCACACACACACTCGAAATTGTGGCAGTTTTGAAAACGAGTGTGCGCGGCGATAGGGCGAGAGCCATTTGTGAAAAGGATTCGCCATCCATCCTTGAAACTTTTGCAAGCGTTTAACACGAATGCGCGCAATGCTAAGGCGAGAGCCACATGTTGAAAACAAGCCGCCCTCCATCCTTCAAGCTCTTGCGCAGTTTGAAACCAATGTGCGCGGAGCGCAGTCGAGAGCCACATTTTGAAAACCAGCCGCCCTCCGTCTTTGAAAGCGATGCCATGTTCTAAGACGAACGTGCGCGGCGCCGTGGCGAAAGCCTCTTTTCGAAAGCCAGTCGCCCTCCATCCTTAGAACGGTTGCACATGCCAAGCGGGCTCACACATGGTGAGGAAATCTCAGGTGAAACGCCCGGCCCGCCGTACCGACACGTCTGGGGGCGCGACGGAGAGGAGTTATTGTTTGAGGTAGCGGAATAGAGAAGGAGGAGGAGGAGGAGGAGGAGGAGGAGGAGCAGGAGGTGGTGCAGGAGGAGGAGGAGGAGGTGGAGGAGGAGGAGGAGGAGGTGGAGGTGGAGGTGGAAGTGGAGAAGGTGGAGGCCGATGAAGAGGAGGTGGTAGAGAAGGGCTTGACAGAGAAAGGGTAGTTGGAAAACAATTAGAATGAGGAGAACCGATCAAGGCCGCTCGGTTTCTCCAGGGTGGTCTCCTGTCGTCTCGTCTCGTCGTCCCCCGAAGATGTTTCGGTCACGGAGGTCGAGGAGAGGGAATATGAGGAGGATGGGGAGGAGAGAGGAAGGTGGAGGAGGAAGATGAGGAGGAGAGGGAAGAGGAGGAGGAGAAGGAGGAGACGGGAGAAGGGAGGAGGGAGGAGAGAGGAGGGAGGAGGGAGGAGGGAGTATTATATATATGTGTATTACAAAAATGGAGAGGGGGTCCTGGGGGCACCAGGGTGCACTGATTTATCTTCCGGCCGTTTCGGGCCTGTCGGAGGTGCCAGAACGCGTCAAAGGAGGGGATGGGGGGCGACGAGAGGGCCCGAGAGACGTCCAAGAGGGCGCCAAGATGGCCCAAGGGCGCTCCAAGAGAGCCCAAAACCGCACAAGAGCTTTTCAAAATTGGTCCAACATGGCTTGAAGACAGCCCAAGAGGGCTTCAAGACGGCCAAGATGCCCTCAAAAGGACTCCCACCCACGAGGAACTCAGGAGGCGAAACCAGTAGGTGTGTTTCGATGAATGTTACAGTTGTTGTTTCGTGTTCTCGCTGTTTCGTGCTTCCGACCGTCCAGGACAGCCCACGAGGACCCAGAAATCAGATCAAACGGCGCAAGAGAGTCCCAAGACAGCCCAAGAGTACCCCAAGACGTCCCAAGAGGCGCCCAAGATCGCCCAAGAGGGCCCCAAGACGGCCCGAAGAGGAGCCCAAGAGGGGGAACACGAACCGACAATTCGAGCCTTCCGCCCCACGAGGCCCCCAGGAGGCCCCCAACATAGCCCAATAGGCCGTTTTAGAGGCCCCCTAGAGGCCGCACGAGGCCCCAAAGAGGCCCAAAAAGACGCCCCAAGAGCACCCTAGACGGGGAATGGTGGTATCGGTACCTTTGTGGTTTCCCCGGCAGCTGAGACCGCGCTGGCGGCGGCCGCAGCGCGGCATTTGCCGTGCGGAAGGTGCGGAAGGGGGAGGTTGAAAAGGGCCCCAAATTTCCCGCGGCGGTTTTTCCATTGCCGTTTTGGCTCAAGCAGCTTGGGCTGAAGATCATTCCAGGTAGTGACGGCACATGCACAAGATGAGCGACAGCGGCCGCTATCCTGGGTTCGTGCAATTTGTGGGAGCTAGCTCGAACTCCGATGAATTTGCCAATGCGCCGCGCAGGTCATTTTTCACATGTTGGGCAACAGGATGCACGTATTTACTTGTCGCGATCAGTATTGTACCTTGGTACCTTCTATACCAGAAGTCAATTGTATCAGATGGTGTAGCGAGAACTGGTCAGGACCCAATTGACGTGCGAAATGTTGATGACGTGCTCCATGCATTAAGGGAAGCCACACACTTGCGTGCAGACTCCAGCGCTTCACTTCACAAGTGGAGGGAAGCTCAGAAGGCAATGCTTGAGCGGACGTTGCCTATCCGTGCCTGGCTTACCCCTTCAAATGGAACATGTTTGTACAAGCGCAGTAACGGCAGTTGCACAAACAAGGCGTCAAGCCCTTTCGAATGGACATCGCCACACTCGACGGATCGTGGGCTTGCAGATGAAGCCTTCTTTGAACACTTCATGCAGCGATTCCGTACAGAACCCAATTTCTATTTGGGATTGGTCTACCTCCCTATTCCATGGAAGTCTGTAGCAGAGGACGCGCCCAGAAGGTACCACACGCAGGTTCCATTGAAACAGACTGTCCAGCTTCTGCAGTATCTGGACCCAGACTTCCGATACTTTACGGTGATGGTACAAGGATGCGCACATGATTTTGGCGTTGACATCAATTGGAGTAACGTGCTGGTTTTTGATTCCCGGGGTTCTGACAGAACAATTCCTTCGGGGGGGTTGGTCAACCGTGTCCCGATCCCATTGCGCTACATGGAGGAATTACCTCTCATGCCAGTGAAGTCCCGCCAGGTTTTTTTTGCTGGATCTTGTAGTTGGAATGAAATTAGGATGAGCTTGCCTTCTCTGGTGAACGTTTCCGAGAACGCTTCCAGTGAGTATGAATGGTTATTGTACGAGTGCGATGACAAACTCCCATATGAAATCTTCGTAGGCCACCTTCGCAACGCCACATGGGCATTCTGTGTGGCAGGAACACATCCGGTGTCATTTGTTACTTATCAGGCCTTGCAGGTAGGATCTCTGCCGATAATCCCATATGACATGTTCTCCAGCAGTTGCACCAGGCATGAGTGGTCTTGTCCGAGTCGATCAGAAGCTTTCATTTGGTTGCCGTACCGGGACATTGGAGTGCGTTGGCTTGATTTCGCAGTGTTGCTTCCAAAGTCTGAGCTAACGAATCTGGCCCACATCATTGACCAGATGAAGGCGGATAATGTAGCAAAGCGTTTAGCGACTGTCCAGAAATATAGGCCGTTGTTCACACCGGTTGGTCTTGCCACGTACATTGAATACATTTTGAGCGTGGCGCAGAAATCGTTTGGATTATCTTCCGTTGCAGGACCTGACGCATACGAGTTCGGCCGTTCAACGATGTTTTAGTCAATGTGGCCTTCCCTTCTCCCTCCTCCCTCCTTTCTTCCTCGTCCCTCCTTCCTTCGACCTGGCGGCTGCTCGGCAGCACTGTCAGGGCGAGGTTGGCATCGCGTGCGCCAGCTTTGCCCCTCTAGCAACGGCATGATTATCAGCCGCCGTTCGCTGGGATGTGGCGCCGCGCGTTGAGGGGGAACAAAACATGTAGCAGAAAAAACGGTGTCGCTCGTGACGTTGCTACATGACCCAAGCGCGTTCCTAGAGAGCCCAGGACCGCAGAAGAGCGTTTCAAAATTGGTCCAACATGGCTTGAAGACAGCCCAAGAGGGCTTCAAGACGGCCAAGATGCCCTCAACAGGACTCCCTCCCACGAGGAACTCAGGAGGCGAATCAAGTAGGTTGTTTTTTACTGGTTTTTGTAGGTTTCTCGTATTCTCGCTGTTTCGTGCTTCCGACCGTCCAAGACAGCCCACGAGGCCCCAGAAATCAGCTCAAAACGGCCCAAGAGCCACCCAAAGCGGGCGCCGCGACGGCGCAAGAGAGTCCCAAGACGGCCCAAGAGTACCCCAAGACGTCCCAAGAGGCGCCCAAGATCGCCCAAGAGGGCCCCAAGACGGCCTGAAGAGGGGCCCAAGAGGGGGAACACGAACCGACAATTCGAGCTTTCCGCCCCACGAGGCCCCCAGGAGGCCCCAAGACGCCACCAACAGAGCCCAAGAGGCCCCATCAGAGGCCACCTGGAGGCCGCACGAGGCCCCAAAGAGGCCCCAAAAGGCACCCCAAGAGCACCCTACACGGCCCCCAAGAGGCCTCCAAAATTGCTTTCAAGAGGTCTTTGGGAAGCCTCGCACGAATTCCAAACTAATTTCCAGGAGGCCTCTAAGTCACAACCCAGGCACGGTGGCGGGATGGGCCGAAGGCCACTAGATGGTCCAAGATGCCCAAGACGGCCTTTAGACGGCCCAAAGGCCCCCAAGATACCCAAGAAGCTTCCAAGAGGTCTCCCAACAGAGCTCGAAGAGGCCAACAAACAGTTATTTTCCATTGGTTTTTGAACAACTTCGGCGTTTCCGCCTGTTCCGCTTCCCGACGCTGCAAAACCCCCCAAGAGGCTCCGAGGATAGCCCCAAGACGGCCCAATAGGCTTCAAACGCGCCCCAAGACGGCCCAATAGTCTTCAGAAGCGCCGAAGAGACGTCCAAGACTGCCTGAGAGGGCCCCAACCGGGGCTTAGGATCGGGAGCGTGAGCCGAGAACCCGAGATCTTCGGCCCAGGAGGCCCCCAGGAGGCTTCAAGAGGTCCCCAAGAAGCCACAAAGCGGCCCAAAAGAGCCCCGAGAGAGGCCACTTGAGAATTACGTTACCGAGGAACCCCACATACCTATATTATGGCTGGAGTCATGATAGCTGAAGTGAAGCATGTGATAATGATGTTGGTGGCTAAAAAATCCGGGTGATGATACCACTCACCTCGCTTGCGTCCCCGTGTGCTCTGAGCACGACCGGCACGGATAGCAAGTTTGCGTACCGATGTGCCCTGAGCACCGCCGTCACGGATAGAGGCCGCCTTCAGGGACCACCCCCATGCGCGCCCCCCTTGTGGTGTCGAGAAGACGCCACGCCTACTGTGCCTTGGACGACCGTCACGGATAGCGGCCGCCCTTAGGGACCACCCCGTGCGCACTCCCTGTGGTGTAGAAAAAACCTCACGCTTGCTGTGCCCTGGACGACCGTCACGGACAGCGGCCGCGCTCAGGGACCACCCCGTGCGCACCCCCGGTGGTGTCGAGAATCTGCCACGCCTGCTAGGGCCCTGGACGACCGTCACGGATAGCGGCCGCGCGTAGGGACCACCCCGTGCGCACCCCTTGTGGCGTCGAGAAAACGCAACGGTTGCCGTGCCCTGGACGACCGTCACGGATGGCGACCGCCCTCAGGGACCACCCCGTGCGCACCCCCTGTGGTGTCGAGAAAACGCCACGCCTGCTGTGCCGTGGACGACCATCACGGATAGCGGCCGCGCTCAGGGACCACCCCGTGCGCACCCCCGGTGGTGTAGAAAAAACGCCACGCTTGCTGTGCCCTGGACGACCGTCACGGACAGCGGCCGCGCTCAGGGACCACCCCGTGCGCACCCCGGGTGGTGTCGAGAATCTGCCACGCCTGCTAGGGCCCTGGACGACCGTCACGGATAGCGGCCGCGCGTAGGGACCACCCCGTGCGCACCCCCGGTGGTGTCGAGAAAACGCAACGGTTGCCGTGCCCTGGACGACCGTCACGGATAGCGACCGCCCTCAGGGACCACCCCGTGCGCACCCCCTGTGGTGTCGAGAAAACGCCACGCCTGCTGTGCCGTGGACGACCGTCACGGATAGCGGCCGCGCTCAGGGACCACCCCGTGCGCACCCCCGGTGGTGTCGAGAATATGCCACGCTTGCTAGGGCAGGGACGACCGTCACGGATAGCGGCCGCGCTTAGTTAGGGACCACCCCATGCGCACCCCCTATGGTGTCGAGATGACGCCACGCCTGCTGTGCCCTGGACGACGACCGTCACGTATAGCCGCACTCAGGGACCACCCCGTGCGCACCCCCGGTGGTGTCGAGAATCTGCCACGCTTGCTAGGGCCCTGGACGACCGTCACGGATAGCGGCCGCGCGTAGGGACCACCCCTTGCGCACCTCCTGTTGGCGCGCATGTGCTGCGTGGTGTGCGTGTCATGTGTTTGTGTGTTTGCGTGCTTGGGTGTGTTTGTGTGTGCTGCGCTGAGCTGTGCTGTGCTGTGTTGAGCTGAGTTGTGCTGTGCCGTGCTGTGCTGAGCTGGTCTGTGCTGTGCTGTGCTGTGCAGTGGTGTGCTGTGCTGAGCTGTGCTGTGCTGAGGTGTTGTTTTGTGCAGTGCTGAGCTGTGCTGATCTTTGCTGTGCTGAGCTGAACTGAGCTGTGCAGTGCTGAGCAGTGCTATGCTGTGCTGTGCCGTGTATGCGCTGTGTGTCAGTGTGCTGTGTACCGTGTGCTGAGCTGTGCTGTGCTGTGCTACGCTGCGCTGCGCTGTGCAGCGCTGTGCTGTGTGAGAAAGAGAAGGAAGAGGAGGGGTGAGGAGGAAGCGCGGGTGCGACGCGGGAAGGAAGAAAACCCAAACCCCACTAAGCATGTGGGGACCAACGGGAATTCCAACATCTCTTGATTTAGAATTCGCCTGGCAGCTCTGGTTCCTCCTCCTATGCGGCCTCCACCCTCCCCAACTCCTCATCCTCCTCCTTTTCTTTCTTCCCCAGGGAACCCCTTCACCTCCCCTTCTCCTCCCTCCTCCCTCTCCATCCGACTACGTCCAGCCGCGGCGAATAAAAGGGCTCCCGAAGTGGCTTTCGAGCCTGTCTTAAGCCGCCGTGGGTGGACCGCAGGAAGTCTTAGAAGACCCCACCAGCAGCAAAGTGGCGACAGTTTCGCAGATCGCAGCCCCCCAGGGACGGCGAGGTCTACCTCAGGTCTGCGCGGTGCCTCACTCCGCTGGACCCACCAGCAGCCCTCGAAAGTGGCGACAGTTTCGCAGATCGCAGCCCCCCCTCCAGGGACGACGAGGTCTACGTCAGGTCTGCGCGGCGCCTCACTCCGCTGGACCCACCAGCAGCCCTCGAAAGTGGCGACAGTTTCGCAGACCGCAGCCCCCCAGCAACAGCGAAGAGAGGGCAGGAGGAGGGATGAGACGGGAGGAAGGCCGCGCTAGCAGTGCTCTATTCAGAACGAATACCCAGGGAGCGGGAAGATCTTATAAGTTAGTCTGCACTAGTAAATCAGCACCGCGCTTATTTTTAATGTTTGCGCGTGGCGATCCTTATTTCAATGACTTGGTCCTTATTTCACGCGGCGTGCGTTCACGGCAAATTCAAAGCTGTGCGCGGCGTCGTTTGACAGCCTTTGCGTGACTGGTTGATTACGGCGTTTTAAGGTCGTCTAGGCACCTAACAGAACCGCTCGTGCTGCGTGCACGACCGTCGTGTACTTTCGCTCCGCATGCGTTGCACACAAGAACATGGGCGGGCGCGGTCGCGCGGGACACGCGGCGAATCGCGGGCCAGGTGGCGGGCTGGTCAAGGGCGTCAAGCCACAGCGAACCAATCCCAACATCGCAAATATTTTCGTTTAGTTGTTGTTCGTTCTCAGCGTTCGTGGCGCGCGCGGCGTGCGCTCGCAGCGGCGCGAGCGCGTTTCGTTGGCGTCTGGAAGCGCGCGCCCGTTTGTCTCGACATCCAGCTGTGCCAACATCGACTTTCATGTTATGGGGGAGGGCGGGTGCGGGCGGGGCTCTCTCATTCGTCCGAGCTTGAGCCAGTCCGCGGGCCGTGGGCGAAAGACCCGGGGGGACATGCGGGGGCCAAAAGCTATATCCAGAGTGCCGCGCGTGTCGTTTCGCTTGGCGTCTGGAAGCGCGCGCCCGTTTGTCGCAGATTATCTCTGCGAAAGACCCAGCCGCATATGCAGTTGTGAACGCCGCGGAGTAGGCGCCGCGAACCGCGTGAGGGGTTCGAACCGCGTGAGTGCGCCAGCATGGGGCTGGTACCGCATACGGGGTATGAGGGAGATGCATCTATGATGAAGGCCGCTGGGGCCTTCGGTGGAGCTCCCTATGGGGGCGTGAGGGGCGTGTCGGAACGGGCGGGGAAGGCGCCGCAGGATTCGGGAATGGTGGCGCGGGCGCAAGCGGGCTGCGCCGCTGGGACCTTCCACGTGGAGTTCCCTCCACAAAATGTATGAGAGGTGTGCCGAAATGGGCGGCGCGGGCGCTTGCGGGCTGTGCTGCTGGACATTTCGATGGAGCCCCGAATGGGCAACGAAACGTGTGAGGGGTGCGCCGAACTACGTGGCGCGGACGCATGCGGGCTGCGCCACATGCGTTCGGTGGAGATCTCTATGAGGCCACGAAGCGTGTGTGTGTGTGTGTGTGTGTGTGTGTGTGTGTGTGTGTGTGTGTGTGTGTGTGTGTGTGTGTGTGTGTGTGTGTGTGTGTGTGTGTGTGTGGGTGGGGGGGGAAGGCGAAATTGGTGGCGCGGACGCATGCGGGCTGCGCCATTGGGGCATTCGGTGGAACTCGATCCCTATGGGGCCACGAAGCGTGTGAGGAGTGTACCGAATCCAGCTAGTTGGTGCGCACGCGTGCGGGTTGCGCCACAGAGTTCGGCGGATCGCTTTATGGGGCCACGGGGTGTGCCGAAATGGGTGGCGCGGACGCATGCGGGCTGTGCCATGGGGACCTTCGGTTGAGGCTTATATGGGGTCGCGAAACGTGCGAGGTGTGCGACGCGATGGGTCGCGCGGACGCATGCGGACTGTGCCGTTGTGACATTCGGTGGAGCCGCGGGCGCGCGCGCGGTGAGTTCTGCATGGTCCACAATAGAAAAGTCGACATGTAATTCCAAAAACCGAATTCCAAATTCTGTGAACCTTTAAGAAGGCCGACGGACGTGCCGATTTTTCTATTGTGGGTCATGCAGAACTCCCCGCGCGCGCGAGCTCAAAATTTCTGTGAACCTTTAAGGGGGCCGACGGACGCGCCGACTTTTCTATTGTGGCCAATACAGAACTCCCCGCGCGCGCGTGCGCGCGCGGTGAATATTGTATTGGTCACAATAGCAAAGTGGCCATGTAATTAAAAAGCGGAATTCGGAATTTCTGTGAACCCTTATGGAGGCCGACGGGTGCGTCGACTTTTCTATTGTGGACAATGCAAGAACTCTCCACGCGCGCGCGGGGAGTTCTGCATGGTCCACAATAGAAAAGTCGACATGTGATTCCAAAAATTGAATTCAAAATGTTTGTGAACCGTAAAGGAGGCCGACGGACGCGCCGACTTTTCTATTGTGGACAACAATGGAGGATAATGATTGAAAAATGACCGGGGGTCGTGTTCACGCGGCGGCGCCCGGGATGATGATTAGAAAAAACCGGCCCCGGGCTGGGAAATTATTTTTTTAATCGTCCCCCCCCCCCGCCGTCCTCGGGCGCGCGGCCCCCCCCGGTGACGAAACACCGCACAGGCGAGCCCTGCTTCTGAGCGTTCCCCCCCGGTGTGGGAAATTGTTTGTTTAATCGTTCCCCCCTCCTTTTTTTCTTAATCGTCATCCCACATTACAGAACTCTCCGCGCGCGCGTGCGCGGGGTGGGGAGTTCTCTATTGCCCACAATCGAAACATGTAATTCCAAAAACTGACTTCAAATTTTGTGAGCGTTTGGAAACGCACGCACCTAGGCCCCACACCCCAAGACGCCTAAGGCCCCCAGACACCCCATGACGCCTGAGGCCCCTAGACACCCGAGACGCCTGGGGAGGAGGAGGGAGGAGGAGGGAGGAGGGAGGAGGAGGGAGAAGGAGGGAGGAGGGAGGAGGATGGAGGAGGAGGGAGGAGGGATGGAGGGAGGGAGGAGGAGGATGATGCAATCCGCCGCTCCGTTGTCGGAGCTGGGTTCGAAATCCGCCTCTCCATTGTCGGAGCTGGAATTCGAAGTTCGGCTGTCAGCACAACCACCGATCCAATGGTTGCGCAGGTATGCCGGCGCCCTGGGACAGAGAGGTAAACGGAGAAGCGTTGGGAGGAGGAGCTGAATTTCACTACCTCTGTGAGTTTAGCTGAGGGGGCGCATTGTGTTTCCAATCCGGCGCTCCGTTGAGATGGCATCCATCACTCGTGCACGAGCCAGCTATCGCAGCCAAGCACCCGTTCAATGGTCGCCCCTGAATGCCGGAGCCCTGGGACAGGAAGGGGCGCAGAGAAAATTGATAGGAGGATGGGAGAGATGGCATAAATCACCGCACCATTGAAATACTAGACTAGGTGTAGCCCGCGTGATCCCCATTTGATTTAAAGACGAGGGGGGCTGTGGGGCGGCTGCTGCGTAAGGTCGGAGGCGTATGTTTCGTATCTATCGTTGTTTTGGCGTTCTTGGGCACTTTAGGGCGTGTCTTCTTTAAGAATCAGAAGGAAGGCGTTACCACTGAGGAGCGCGCACTTGTCGTTACTTCGAACGACGTCGCCACCAACGCCGAACCCGACATAGTTGTAACGCCTGTGTTTTTTCTTCCTTCCGACGGTAACCTCGCCTTCCGCTGACCATGGGGTCAACTTCGACCCTTGCCCGTTCCACCCCAAAAATCCCCCCTCATGGCATCTTCTCTTCCTTGTACCCCTCCATGCAGGGCCGCGCTCATTTAGAGCGCCAAAGTGCTAAGCAGCAGTATGTTGCTTAGGCAGGCCCGTACTAAGCGACTGGAATGGGCAAAGATATCAACCAGTTGTCAGTGACCGATGTCTACGACGATTCGGGCGGGGCTGGTCTGGGCTGGTGGGGTGGGGGGGGGGAGTGGGGGCGGAGGTGGTGGTGGAGGGCGAAGCACAAGCGCTCGCATGAGCACAAGCTTCTGGAGGTCGCGCGGGAGGCCCTCGCGCAGACGTTCCCCCGTTCGGCCAGCGCCTTGGCTTGTTTTTTGGCGACATGCCAGTATTTCGTTTGCAGGCAGTGGACGTTTCAGGATTTTTAACCGGGCCATGTGCATGTTCTACATCGCAGCAGTAGCGGTCAGGAGCGAGCATGTGTGGTTGGAACATCGCCGATACCTTTGACCCTTCAGCTTTGCGTTTTGCAAGCAGATCTCGGACTTTCTCTTGGGGTTCGTCGCCCAGTCGAAGTGAGACACATAAGTATCCTTGATTCCCCACCAGACAGGTTGGGGTCGTTAGATTTTAAGAACAGACCTCCCGGCCACTCCCACCCTGCATACCGCGGCCGCCAGACCCCAAGTTGTCCCGAGTGTCCCGGTTATCCCGCCCCGCGCCTTCGACAGACACGACAGAACATACCCTGCCGCCAGACCCCAACTTGTCCCGAGTGTCCCGGTTATCCCGCCTCGCGCCCTCGACAAATTCGACAGAACACACCCTGCATACCGCGGCCGCCAGACCCTAAGTTGTCCCGAGTGTCCCGGTTATCTCGCCTCGCGCCCTCGACGAAGACGACAGAACACACCCTGCATACCGCGGCCGCCAGACCTCAAATTGTCCCGAGTGTCCCGGGTATCCCGCCTCGCGCCCTCGACAAACACGACAGAGCACAACATGACAGAACAGAGCAAAAGCATGACAGAACATGGCAGAACAGAGCATATCAATATCATGACAAAATACGAGAGACCAGCAGATCACAGAGCATACCAGAGCAGAACATGACATAACATAAAACGACCGAACACAACATTGTATAACATAACCGAACATCGTATACTACATGGGCAGAACATATCATATCATGACGCAGCGTTACCAAACGTATCATAAGACGACAGCAGAGCATAGCGGCGAACACGCCAGAACACAGCATGTCACACCAGAAGAAAACATGTCATAACACGAGAATACCATAGCATGGCAGAGCAGACTGTATCAATATAGTGACAAAACAGATACTACGTTCACATCACATAACACATCAGGTCACAGCATGGTTGAACAGAAGGCGACATAACACAACATAGCATAGCATGATCGAGGAACTCATAAGACACCTTGGCATACTATTCCATATCATCGCACTTCATCGCGTAACATTTCATGACACGACAGTATAGCATATCGCCACATACTATCATAGCAGGTCATAATATATTATATTGTGCCCTGAGCCGCCCACAAGCACAACATCACATACCATAACAGAGTATACCATGATGGGACATAAGAATACATACCACAACATACCATACTATAACCGATCATACCATAACACACCATGGCAGGATACACCAGATCATGCCACATCATCACACACCATATCATAACACGGCATCAGGGCACTGCGAAACAAATTAGCAGAGCAGATCATGCCATAGTGTATTGAACCGAGCCGTCAACAGCATCACGGAACAAAGCACACTATTACATGATCTGTCAGCATCGCATGCAATATCACAGTGCCGCAGCGCAGATCGTTTTACAGCATCTCCAACCACATGGTGACATCTATGAGCCCTCGTGCACCTATGGATGTCGGATGCCCACGTGCCTGGGGGGGTCCGCTCGGGGTCGCCGCGCGCCTCGCGCAGGGTCGGGGGAGCGAAGAAGACGAGGGCGAGGGGGAAGAGGGGGGCGGCGAGGCGCATGATGAGAGAAGATGACGAAGAACAGGGCGAGGAGGAGGGAACGGAGGAGGAGGAGGAGGGGGAGGAACGAGGACGATGAGGAGGAACAGGAGGAGGAAGGAGAGGTCCGCCTCACCTCCTTTTCCTCCTCCTCCTCCTCGTCCTTCCTCGTCCGTCTCCTCCTCGTGGTGCTGCTGCTGTTCCTCCTCTTCCTCTTACCGGAGGTTGATACTATCTCAGAGCAAGTTTTGGTGTATCGCAAAAAGCGTTTTGGGTCTGGTTTTGTCTTCGTCAGGGGCGTCGGGGTTGTTAGAATTCGGACAACATCAACTTGCGACCTGGCCCGGCGGCCGCGCTGGCCGACGCCGCCGGGCACTGCGCACATCCTTCCTGTAGGCGCGCGCGCCGTTGGGACCAAACACCGGAGGTTTCGGTGTGGATCGCTCGAAACAAAAATAATGTCCATTCTTTTTTCTTGATTTGTTAGCCCTTTCGTGTTTTCAAGCTTCCAACGCTCCAAGACGGCCAAAGAGGCTCCCAACACCGCCCGAAGACGGCCGAAGAGGGCCCAAGACGGTGGCGGCGACTTCAACGCGGGGCTCCTTCAGCTCACCGCCCTGGTACAGAATATCGTTGAAGGCTACGCAGCCTGCCAAGTATCGACTGACTTCGGTGCGCAGCAGCCTGGATCACTGCAGCTGGTCTTCTCTCACCCGATGAGGTTCAAAAACGGCGAGATGGGTGCGTTCTTCGACCGAGTCAGAGATGCCCCTGACCTCGTTGCGCAGCCAGCCGAGCAGCGCCGGCGCAGCCTGCCACCTCTTCCAACGTGGTGCGCAGGCCCGACGCGCCCAGCGTCAACGCCATCTTCGGCAGCGATGCCTCCGCAGAAGCAGCGTTGCAGGCGATGCTCGAGAAGATCGGCAGAGACTTCCTGTTCATATTCGGACGGCCGCTTCGAGGCGGCAGCTCTTGAGCACATCGCCGAGAAGCTGGAGGAATTCTTGCGGGTCGTCGAAGAGCAGCGTGCGAATCACATGCGCCGCGCGCCTGGCCTGGGCTCCGACGCGATCTTCACGCTTCGCCACATGAAAAAGACCCACAATAAGTGGATGAACGATTATAAGTCGTGGATGAAAGCGGAAACGGTCCAGAAATACGAGCGGTTGTTCAACGGGAGGCACTGGCAGAAAACGCGCCAGCTCCGACGAAGCGCTTTCTCCGCGAACTTGTCCCTGATCATCGGCAACAAAAATATGCTGCTCTCGGCCATCCGACATCCAATCCACAATGCTGCAATGCTGCGCGCGCAATATGGCGGTTCATGGACGCGTGGACGGAGGAGAAGTCGTCGACTGACAACAACAGGGGGGACGCGACGGAGAGGGAGGACATCGGCGACGACGAGGACGAGGGGCCGCACAAGCGCCGGCGCCGTGAGTGAGCAAGCGGCTCGCGCCACGTAGCTCGCGGGTCGCGCCTCGCACCTCGCAGCTCGCAGCTCGCACCCGGTGAGCGAATGCGAAAACGTGCGTGCGTGTGCGTGCGCGTGCCTGTGCGCAGGCAACCCAAAAACAAAATCAACCAAAAGCAAAACACACAACCAATACAAAAGCAACACCAAAAGCGAAAGCAAAACAAAGAAACAATGCAAAGCAAAAGCAACACCAATGCGAAAATGTAGACATATTTGTAGATGTAGGCGAAGGTGTAGATGTTGATGTGTACGTAGGTGTATATGTAGGTGTACATGTCGACGTAGATGTGGGTTTTGCTGTTGATGTTGATGTGGATGTATATGCAGATGTAGATGGTGATGTAGCTTTCGGTTTAGATATAGACGCTGCTTTCCTAGATCCTCCAACTCCCAGGCAGGGTCGCACTGGGGTAATTTATTTTTCGTTGAAAATCCCCCTGCAGGGGGACAGGCCCGACTTGAGCGTTGCGGCCTCTGCCAGCCCGGTCGCCGGGCGCGGCGGCCGTGCGCGCGCGCGGGGGGGGGGGGCGGCGGCCGGGCGGGGGGGCTGGGGCTCTCGAGGGGAGCACAGCCACGACGCTGAAACGAGGAGCCCTCTGGGCTCGGGAGGGGCCCGGGTTCTCGGCCCGCTCCGTGGGTCTGGGTCGGCGAAACCCATATGTGGGGGCTCTCGAGGGGGGCGCAGCCGCGACGCTGAAACGAGGGGACCTCTGGGCTCGGGAGGGGGCTCAGGCTGTCGGCCCGCTCCTTGGGCCTGGGTCGGGGAAAGCCCTCTGTGGCCGAGGTTCGCCGTGGCCGGGCGAGCCCCTTCGCTCCCTCTCTGCCGTTCCTTCTGTCGGCGGCGAGCGAGGGTGGGAAATGAGAGGGAGGAGGCCTTCTCAGAAGGCGGCGGGACTTCTCAGAAGCCCTCGCGACTTCTGAACAGTTTTGTTTGTCTTCGGGGAAGGCTTAGGACACTTCTCAGAAGGCCAGGGGGCTTCAGGGCCTTCTGACAAGACCCGGCCCTTCTCAGTTCCCCCCCGCGCTCGCCGCCGATTGTGGCACCGCCGTTTGCGAAATAAACGCCCGCCAGCAAGCGCGCCGTGAAGACCCACCCTGGACCCCGTCTCTCAACGTTGGCCGACGACCGCGGCGCCAGAAGGCAACGCGAAGTGCTGCGAAACAGACGCCCGGCTTCGCGGGGGGCTGCTGCTTGCCCGAAAAGAGGGGCGCGCGCTGACGCACCGTGATCTGGACTTGAGACGGGTGTTTCTGTGAGGGGGCCACATGCGAACCCTACCCCTGCCCCCCACGACTTCTGAGGGGGAGGGTGGGGTTCATTGCGTTTGGGAGCTCCCGAACGAAGTGAACCCCACCCTCCCCCTCAGAAATCGTGGGGGGTACAGTCAACGCGCCTAGTAAGGACGCGCGCCTTCATCTAGGATACCCTTGCGTCATTGCCTCTGTGGCCCGTCCTTTGCCGTTTTCACTGGTCGCCGCCGCCCAAAAAAATCCCAACTTCAGCCTCCAAGGGTCTTGCGTCCTTACCACGCGT